CCGATTATCGAAAATATTTTATCGGAAATGTTCGGATCAGCTAAAAGCCAGTGGAATATAAAATAATCAAAACGAAAAACAAAAATATAACTGTTAACGGTCAAAGGAAAAATTTTAAAGCCAGCGAACAGCAAAAGATGTAAGTAAAGAAAATAAAAGTGGTAATTATTAAAATTAAAATTATTAAAATGCAGGGGTAAGCACAAGACGGCGGAGCAAAGCAAAAATATGCTGGACTTCATGGAAATAAATCCAGACATAACCAAGGGCTTCTTCAAATTAGATAAAGTGGCTCTTGAGGAAAAGTGGCGCCAACTAACGGAGTCGTTGAATAGCCAAGGACCACCAATAGAAAACACAAAGGAGTGGAAGAAGGTAAAATATTATTGTGATTATAAACTTTGTTATGGGTTACTGTTCGCCGCACAAAACATAAATACCTTATTCTTCGGCATATAGCGCACCCGGTAGCGTGCCATAAATTTCACCATCTAATAATTTTTCTGGAGCGTACGGCAACACCAAAACTCCATGGAAAGTCTGCCATTTTGCGATAGCTGTGTTCCTTGCAGACAGTGTCGCTGATTGTCACTAGCTCCTGTAGGTCTGTTCGTTTTTGGTTAATAAACGCTTTCCCGCGGAGGCTGGTGATCGGTTGTGACAACTGTCTGCAACTGCCCGTCTTCACAGGATTGAGTTTATATCTTGACACAAATGTGAAAATGTGGAGAGCAATATATATCGGGGCTTATATCTTGGCATCTACTGCGGTAACTTACTAGTTTGACAGCTACGCTGCCTGCACGAAAGCTTCGTGACGACCACATTATTGATATTTGAATATAACTTCGACGTTACACGTTCAGCTTTCCCCTTTCAATTGTCAATACACTCACATTTTCCACTAACACACTATTATTCTTCTACGGAATGGGAAACTTGCTTTCAATTTTCCTTTCAAGTAAATCTTAACTTTGCTTCAATTTTGATTACCTATTCAGCATTGACAGGCGAATTTCGAGAAAACAAGAAAGTTATTAAGGNATTTAGAGAAAACAAGAAAGTTATTAAGGTTTTGAATGCTAAAAAGTTAACATACCATGCAATTTAGAATAGCAAGTGGCCTCTAAAAGCTGATTAGTTGGTTGTTTTCTTGAGGACGGCGCGTTGACAATGAGATTGCTTCTCAGAGTGACTTCAGCCTACCTAATGGCCTTCAATTTTTATGATTTTTGACAAGCAATGTGTGTAAGAAAATGAAAGGCTAGGTTGATCGTGTGTCGTTAGCGTAAAAGCAAAAGTCAAGCTGTTTCCTATTAAATTGCTTGTTAGTATGTACTCGGATGTAGTTTCAAGGTGTTATTTATTTTCTTTTTGGCGGTTAAGGGCCGGTTACTCAATGTCTGGTTAACACTAATCTGCGGTTAAACATCGTTATCGACGTGTTCGACTCCATGCATATAACAGCNGAGCTGTTTCCTATTAAATTGCTTGTTAGTATGTACTCGGATGTATTTTCAAGGTGTTATTTATTTTCTTTTTGGCGGTCAGTCCGACAAAAATACGTTTTAAAAGCCATCTTACAAATGGTAATATCAAGATATAAAAAGTCTACACAAATATTGCCTCTGATAGAACGTATGTAATACATATTATCCTGTGAAGACGGCCAGTGAGGAAACGGGGCTGGTGAATGGCTGCTCTCCAACCGGTTGGAGTTATATAAATGGGTGATGGCAGCCCCGGACCGCCTCGAACATTCGATTTTGACAATCTCCTTTGCAATGCGGCGAATTCCCATTGGAAAAAATAACGGAACTGCTCCAATTGCCGCAGAGTCCGTTATTTTTCCATAATTTCCCGCAGTGCAAGGGTATAAAACCTGCGGGCCACGCATAGTCGGCCATTTATATGTCAAGTATTCGATTGAGCGGTGAAACAAGCGATTTAAGTGAAGAACGGGCTAAACTTGTGTCGTGCGGTTAATTTAATCAAAACGCATTAAATATTGAAATAAAAAAAGATAAAGTTGTGCAAATATAAGTGCAACCCGCCAGAGAGGGGGCATCAATCGGGGTGAGCACCCGGGTACAGCAGGGGCCGCCTAACAACAACAACGGGCGGCAACCACATCTACTCCGACCAAACAACGGCTCTCACAGAAACAGCCCTACCAACAACAACAACCTCAACATCAATCACAGCGAAGCAACGGCGACAACAACGGTTGCAACAACGCAACAACAACAAAAGTTGCGCGAGGCAACAACAACCGTTGCAACAACGCAACAACAACAAAAGTTGAGCGAGGCAACAACAACGGTTGCAACAACGCAACAACAACAAAAGTTGCGCGAGGCAACAACAACCGTTGCAACAACGCAACAACAACAAAAGTTGAGCGAGGCAACAACAACGGTTGCAACAACGCAACAACAACAAAAGTTGCGCGAGGCAACAACAACGGTTGCAACAACGCAACAACAAGAAAAGTTGCGCGAGGACCAAACAACAACGGTTGAAACAACACAACAACAACAAATGTTGCGTGAGGCAACAACAACGGTTGCAACAACGCAACAACTACAAAATTTGCGCGAGGAAACAACAACGACGGTTGCAACGAAGCAACCGCAACAATAGCGAGCAGCGACCACTTTTAGCGGTAACAACAACGGTTGCAACAACGCAAACACAACAAAAACAGCAACGAGAGGAACAATCACCTGAGCAGCGACAGCAACGAGTGTCGACCACAACGGCTGCACAGCAACAACCACAACCACAACCACCGGCTACTACTACAACTACTCCTCAGCAGCGGTTGCAATAACGTCGCCACCAAAAATCGGGCGAGACAACAACAACGACAACGGCTGCCACAGCAACAGGCACAACACCAGCAACGACTACAACAACAACAGCAGTGCCACACACAAGCCTGCTGCAATATTAGGGTGAGTCCTTCGGGCCCTAACACATTCGATATACAGTAGTATACATAGCAATATATATATGTATAGTTATACACATAGGTATATATGTATGTATATCTGATATACATATATGCCTACCTACACAATTACTGGCTTAAAGGAGGAAAAGAAAAAAAAAAACACAAAGTAAACTTATAAATTGTAGAAAACAGATAAAGAAATTAAAATTTAAAATTACATTAATATTATGAGTTAAGGGAATTTTTCGAATAGAATTTAAATTAATCACAAATAAGAATAACTAATGTTACTGTCGTTGGCCCCGGATCAATAAAAACGAATGTAACGCACGTTTGATTTACTTGCGATAGCTGTGGTTTATTTCTAAACATAAAGTTATTTAAACTTAGCACGTAAATACACATTTAATAAATTGAATTGTTTTACTCACCGCTGTGTGCCTTTCCGGGTGCTTGCCAACGAATGAAACAAATTTTACAAGAAGGACAGAATATAAATGAGGGCGAATGAATTCGCCGCGATACAGGACAAAGGGAAACGACGAATAAGCAGAAAGGCAAACAGCGATCAGTTTACAGGGTAGCCAGATCAAACTTCAAATGTAAAGGTATTCATTCAATAGGTGGCGTTCTGGGACATCCCCGCCCCCGTGAATCTCCCGATTCACCAGCTTCAATATCCAGAACGGCTAACTTTGCAACGGCTCTTCGCTTCACCCCGGAGTTCGTGCGCACATCAACTTGCCGTATCTCACCATCTTTGCCAGGATACAACTGCTCCACCACGCCTCGGCACCATTGCCTTCTTGGAACGTTAGGGTCGCACAGGAATACTAAGTCCCCTCCCTTCAACGGTTTTGTTGGTTGACACCACTTCTCACGACGTGTTAGCGTCGGGAGATACTCCAGCACCCATCTCTTCCAGAAATGGTCTCTGAGTTGGCGAGCAATTCGCCACTGCTGACGCATAGCACGGGGAGTGGTTGGTATTTCGGTCACACTGGGCGTATGCGCAGTATTGGATGACCCCAGCAGGAAAATCGTTCGGCGTTAACGGCTGCTCTTGGTTCGGAGAGATGGGCAGGTGCGTGAGAGGCCGGGAGTTGACGACGTTTTCCGCCTCGAGCAGAAGGCAATTGAGTGTGTGCTCACGTGGGGCCACTTCTTTTAGCGTTTGGCGCAACACTCGCTTGACGCACTGCACCATCCTCTCCCAGGCGCCTCCTTCAGCTGGGTTAAACGGCGAGTTAAATACCCAATCGATGCCTCGTTGCGACAATTCACCCTGCACACGCTCGCAGTCGAAAACTTCAGAGAATCGTTTGGCTTCATTATTGGCGCCAACGAAGTTCTTTCCGTTATCGGATCTCAACCTCACAGGCACTCCTCTGCGGTTAACAAAGTTGCGAAGGACGATGATGCAGGAGTCAGTGCTCAATTCGTGTGCCATTTCCAGGTGCACTGCTCGTGTGGTAAGGCAGGTGAAAAGTGCCACCCACCGCTTTTCGGTGCTGCGCCGTATTCTTACGTTGAGGGGTCCAAAATAGTCCATGCCAGTGTATGTAAACGCCCTAACGTGAGGCGTGAGCCTATCGATGGGAAGCGGCCCCATTAGTGGCGGAACCGGTGTCGCCTTACGGAGGCGGCACACATTACAGCTGGCGCTGACGTTTCGTAGAAGCGTCCTTAACCGAGGTACCCAGTAGACGCGGCGGATGGCGCATATTGTAGCTTCAGAATTTTGATGACCCATGAGAACGTGATGATGTGCTGTAACTAGCTTCGTATATGCGTGAGTGGGTGGCAATATTATGGGGCGCCTCGTGTAGATCGGAAGCCAGCTGGCGGCATCAATGCGCCCGCGAGCACGTAGTACACCATCCTCGTCTAGGTATGGCAGCAGTTGTAGCAACGAGCTCCGTCTCGTTATTCTTGTCCATCGCGTATCTGCTGAATTTCTTCGGAGAAGGATTCGCCCTGAACCAGTCGGCATAGGAGCAGTTTCGCCGCTTCAAGATCGCCAGCACTAAGACCGTAGGGACTCTTAATTTGAATTCGGTGACAGGTTTTGACGAACAGTATAACCCAGGCTGTGGTCCTCAACAACCTGTTGTATGAAGAGAAGCGATTAAAGTTTATGAAATTTTGACTTACGATGGTTAATGCGTGTTGTGGTCGTAGTTCTTCATCGTACTCATCTGAGTCGGGGGAAACTGCATCTTCGGAGGGCCAGGCTTGCTCCTCTTCTCGCAGAAACGACGGGCCTAGTACCCAGCGCACAGTAGGTCCAAACACGATTGCATGGTTCGCGCGCGTGGCTTCGTCGGCCACGTTTTCTGCCGTGGGTATCCATCGCCACTCGGACACTTGCGTGGTGGCTAAAACTTCAGCAATTCTGTGCTGAACAAACGGCTTATATTTACGGTGCTTGCTTCGAACCCATTTGATGACCGTCGTTGAATTACACCAAAGGAGACGTTTGTTTGGTTTAAAGGAGTGTGCTTCGCATACGGCTTGCTGTAGATGCATTCCTAATACGGCAGCTTGCAGCTCTAAGCCCGGTACGGTAAGCGGCTTCAATGGAGCGCACTTAGATTTCGCGCAAATGAAGGCAACCTCTACCTCACCACGAGCGTTCTTGGCTCTCCAATACGTGACGGCAGCAAAGGCATTCTCGCTGACGTCGACAAATGTGTGTAACTGTAGTGTTTCCGGCGCACCATTGCGGAAGTAGAATCGAGGACAGGTATACCTGACTACCGATGGCAGTTGCCTCCGCCACTTTTCCCATGACGCAGCAATGTTTACTGGAAGTGGTTCATCCCAGCGCGTTTCATGCCTCCACACCTCTCGCATTAACAGCTTCGCCCCGACAACAAAGTTACCCAGGAGCCCCAGCGGATCAAATATGGACATGACCACACTGAGGAGCTCCCTCTTCGTAGGACATCTAGTACCGCTCATCACCGCTTCACTCACGTTACTGAATTTGAGTCCAAATTTGAAGTTGTCAGTCGTGGAGTGCCAATGCAAACGCAGTACCCGCTCAGTGCCCAGACCATTCTTTATCCCAATAACCTTATCGAAGTCAACGCCATCTAACGCAGCAATCACCTCCGTCGAGTTCGATGTAAAATTGCGAAGCTCGAAGCCGGCGCCCATGTGAATCGCTCTTACCTGTGCCCCGATGTCGATGGCTTCCCTTGGCGAGTTGAAGCTATCTACGAAGTCGTCCACGTAATGATTTTCCAAAATAGCAGTAATAGCGCGGGAGTTACATACTCTCCTACCTCTAAGAGTTTTTCCAGTTAATAATAAATATACCTACTTAGCCCCCAATCTGAATTTTATTGTAATTTTCCCTCTTTTGTTACTCTTGCTCTAACTAACTTAAGCTAGACATATTTATTCGATTAATGAGTAAGATCATTATTAAGAGAACTTCCGCTGTTAAACTCAAAGATTACTCTAGCTGTAAGTGTGTTAATATGTAACATCGAATTTGAAATATTAGCTAATGCAACTTATAATTAGCTCTTAAGTTTTAGTTTAGTAAGACACACCTGTTAAAACAGTTCAACACACAAATAAACGCAATTAGGAAAATTGTTGTGGTTTTATTATTATTCTAATAAAGGCGATTAATAATTAATCGAATATCAGCAAATACTTTTTTAAAAGTATACTTTGTGCTAAAGCATTGTGCGGAATAAGTTAAACGTATTCTGTTTGTGGCGCAGTCGAAAAACAGAAATTTTCAGACATTGAAAATAGTACCATTCGCTCCGTTATAACTGTCAAAAAAAAATATAAAGCAACCAAAAAGCAAAAACAATTGATTTACTTTTGCAAGCACAATACATATATATTTATGAACAAAAAGCGACAAAGTTTGTTCGACGAAAATAGAGAATCAATAAAAATGGATAAAATGATGGACGAATTAAATCAAAAGCTAGCAGCAATGGAATTAGCTATGAAACAACAACAAACTGTAATTATGGAACAACAACAACAAATAAATATGCACAGGCAACAAGAAGTAGTGCAAAATCAATTTCTTCAACTAAGTACTAAAGACGTTTTACAACAATTTCGTCACATTANGATTTGACACGTTTTGGAATTCAAATTATAAGAAACGAAAAAATTATGGGTGATGCTGGCAGGAGTATACAAGAGTTAGAAGATGCTGCTGATTGGAACCTTATCAAATCGCACTTGAAGCAGCATTTCAGACCACGACGAACATATGGAGAAATTTTCAACAGTTGTAGAATTGTAAAAGTAAGCACATTAAGAGAATTATTTTGTTTTTTTGAAAAGGCCAAATTTGACCTAAACGAACTATACGAGTTTGATGGTAAAGAGTCAACACTTTATTCTCCTCAAAGTATTAATAGGGATTTAGTTGATATTTTACTCGAAAAAATTGATGCCCCTATTAGAGCACATATTATAGAGAGCAATAATTTGAATGAGGTTATTGTAAGGTACACAAATTTAAAACTGCTGGACGATACCAGATGCATAGATTTTAGGCATAGAAGGCAACAAACAAAAATTAAAAGCAATTCGAATTTAAATCAGCAATATGAGGGAGAAAATGTTAACCAATCGTTTAAAAATAATAATAATATGTATACATTTCGTGTAAATAAAAGTGAATTACAAAAACGTGATGCTCAAGTTAGAAGCTATCAATATAAGCAACAAGATAGTTCAGCACAACAACACCATAAAAACACGAGTAAATTACATGATAATAGCAATTCTTCGCGGTTCAGGAATAGGGACTATTCAACCATTAATAGCAATAATCGTAGTAATGGGGTTGAACCCATGGATATTGCTAATATAGACGAGGCTGTAAATTTTTGCGATGGCCTCGATGTTCAAACTTACCCATAATAACAATAACAATACAAAGTGAAAAAATTAATTGCTTGATTGACACTGGTTCCACGACTAGTCTTATAGGGCCAAACACCTTAAGTCAGTTTTCTATCGAGAATCTTGAGGAAGCACTATATTTTAGAACTATTAACGGTGTCAATCAGATAAAAAATAAAATAACCACTCCTTTTCCTAAAGAATTTAACCTGTATGGCACTATTTCTTGGAAAGTAGCTAACTTAAATAATAATAATTATAACGCCATTATTGGGCAAAACGTCCTAAGGCCGCTAAGAGCCAAAATTGATTTCGCAAACGATTTTATAGAAATAAATGGCAATAAATTGTTTTTTCATGAATATCCTTTCGATATCCACAGTATTTGTACGCTGAAGCCAGTACAACCTGACATACTTACCAAATTAAATTTGGATCACCTTAGCAGTGAAGAGCACGAAAAGCTCGAAAAATTATTATTGATGTATGAAGACTTATTTTATAAAGAAGGAGAGAGTCTGACGGCTACTCATTGTATCCAGCACGAAATAGTTACGCAAACTAACAATCCTATCTACTCGAAAATTTATCGATATCCCAAAGTTCACGAAGAAGAGATAAGTCGCCAAGTAAATGATATGCTTAAGCAAAATATCATAGCGCCATCTTCGTCCCCGTATAACAGTCCTTTGTGGATTGTGCCCAAGAAAGAGAATAAAACAGGTTCGAGAGAATGGCGAATTGTTATCGATTATCGGAAGCTGAACGAAAATACAGTGGCCGATAAGTTTCCAATTCCTAATATAGACGGTATATTAGAAAAATTAGGAAGAGCAATATACTTCACTACATTGGACCTTGCGAAAGGCTTCCATCAAATTGTAGTGAAGCCTGAAGACAGGAAAAAGACTGCGTTTTCAACCCCTCATGGACATTTTGAGTTCATCAGAATGCCATTTGGGCTTAAAAACGCCCCATCAACCTTCCAAAGGTTAATGAATGTAGTTCTCCAAAGGTACATAAATAAAATATNGAATTATTTGAAAACAGTAAAAGTGCAAAATTTGTCAAATGTTCATACATGGCTAAAGATGTAAAAACTGAAGAAGAAGCCATAAAGCAAATATCCATTTTTCATACTAAAGAATCTGGCCATTCGGGCATAATCCCTAATTACGAAAGTTTAAAGCGAAAAATGTATCACCCAAATTTAAAGAATATTATCAGTAAAGTAATAAATAATTGCGATATTTGCACAGCATCAAAGTATGACCGAAATCCCATAAAGAAAAAATTTCATATCACGGAAACGCCTTCCGATAAAAGAGAAATAGTACACATAGATACCTACGTTAATTCCAAACATTCGTTTATTATTTTCCTTGATAAATTTTCAAAACATGCTGTAGCGTTTTTCCTTGAAGACAGAAATAGTCTTACTCTTGTAGAAAAAATAAGATTGTACATTTCGGCCTTTGGTAAAATGAAAAAAATCGTTTGCGATAACGAATTTAACTCTATTAACGTAAAACAATTTTGTAAAGAGGAAAATATAGAATTACATTTATCGAAGCCAAACAGCCATACAGGCAATTCTGATGTGGAAAGGCTTAACAACACTTTAACTGAAAGAATCAGAGCTTTAAATTTAGAAAAAAAGATGCCAATAAAAGACCAAGTAAGTAAAGCAATAGAGCTTTACAACAACACTTTCCATTCAACGATTGAAAATACGCCCAACAATGTCCACAACAACAAAGTGGACACGAATAAAGTAAAGGAGAAAACTGAACTAAAAAAATTAAAGAAAATATCCAAAGCAAATGAAAAAAGAGAGGAGTATGTAGAGAATAGAAGTGAGGGTTTTGTCAAAAATTATTTAAATGTTCGACACAAAGAACAACCAAAATTTAGAAAAATGAAATTAACGAATGTTCACGAATCAAATATCAAACGGCCGTTTAAGCGAAGTGCAAGCCGATAAACGAAAAGTCTTTCAATCAATTTTTTTTTTTTTTTTTACTACATATTTAAATTTTTTTTTGATCAGTACAATTATTTTTTCTGCCCGTAAATATACTGCTGGTATAATTATTGAATTGCTATTTTTATTTAAAGTAACCCATATTTGACTATTTTGCACACAAATCGTTATATACTAAGTGCATATGTACATTGTACATATTCATATATTGCGTAGTAATACATGCCTATTTGCCTTAAATATATGTATACGGTATACTAAAAATTCATAGAGCTATGTGAAATCATACATACATAAATACAAAAATTAGAACAAAGAAAAGTAAAAAGATTAAACGTAATACAACGCCAATGCACAACTAAAATCCCGGAGTATTTTGAAATCAAGGGGGGGAGGAGTTACATACTCTCTTACCTCTAAGAGTTTGTCCAGTTAATAATAATTATACCTACTTAGCCCCCAATCTGAATTTTATGGTAATTTTCCCTCTTTTTGCGAGTCTGCGTGCGTTGCCCTTCTCAAGGTAGCTGTCAATGATTTGCTTATAGGCGACGGCAAATCCAACGTCACGACTCATTTTTCTTTCAACGCTCCTTAGCCTATTGAGCGCCATTCCGTAGCTATCTGGCAATTGAACGTCGTCGTGCTTCCATAGCAGTCCTGTCTGGAAACGTGGTCCAACGCGACAGGTTGTCGACTCCAAGATGGCTCGTGCACGGATGTCGGCCTCGCTTTCGATAGGTGGTGATGGTCTCACACCAAAGATTTCAGTCTCAAAATCGGCGACCATGTCGTGAAGCGCTTCATCCCGACTGGAGTTCACGAATAGACACGTTATTGGCGAGGGCGAGCATTTACTAACTGGACCGAACACCACCCAGCCGAGCTCCGTTTTGGCTGCAAATGGCCCGTTTTTCCTCATCGTAATGGTGGTCGATGATAAACCCAAATGGCAATTGTCTATGCCGATGAGGAGTCGTGGGGTCGCACCAGAGTGGGGTTGCATTGGCAAGTGGCGCGCTTCTTTGTCGTCCAGTATTAAATCGCTGCGACTAAGGCTTTGTGTTGGCAGCTGAAGATTACGTACGGCGTGAACTCGTTGCAGGCTGTGCCTTTTTTTCATACCGGCACCGCTTATATGTAGGTCAACTAAAGTGGCAGGCTCTTGTACCGCATATCCCCCGAACCATTGTACATGCAGGCTGTGTGGCCGTCCTTGCAAGTCCAACTCCTTTGCAAGGCTACTATCGAGCATCGTTATAGATGAGCCCTCATCGAGTAAAGC